TTTTTAAGAAGCAATTGGATAACCATTTGTCTGAAATGGTATAGGGACGCAGCGGCATCTCTGATGGCACTGTTCAGCTCAGTTCAGCTCTGCCATGCATGCAAGTGCGCCTCCCATCGGCCAGCTGGTGTTTGGGTCTCTGCCGCACATGCGCAGGGGTGGGGCGTGTGCGGGGGCCCATATGCACATGTGCAGTGGGTGTGGGTGTGTGTTGGGCACCATGTGTGCATGCGTGGGGGCACAGGGTGCATGCATGGGGGCACACACATGTGCTGGGGGTGGGACGCATATGCGGGGGCTGCACACGCATTGCATTTTGGAGTTTTGGGTGTGTGCTTTGGGCACTTGGTCCAGAAAAGGTTAACCATCACTGGTATACAGTTTCCTACCTAAGCAGGGGGTTGAACTAGAAGACTTCCAAGGTCCCTTCCAACTCTGTTGTTCTGTTCTGTTCTGTTCTGTTCTGTTCTGGTCTGTTCTGTTCTGGTCTAGTCTAGTCTAGTCTAGTCTAGTCTAGTCTAGTCTAGTCTAGTCTAGTCCAGTTTTCTAAACTGTTTCAATTTCTCCCCTCAGGATGTCACTATAGGGCATTGCATGCCAAAACAACTGGATACAAAGATAGTTCCTTCCCTAGTACCATCACTCTGCTGAACACCTAATTCCCACAGCACTGTCTTATGCCTGAAGATATTTACCCATTGCTATTATCCTTCTCATTTTCTCATCTTTTTCACCTTCTCATCTTTCCTATTACCTTCTTCTATTGGTATCTTATGGTTTATCACTTGTTGTTTGTATCTTATGATTATATCTTATGATTTAGGATCTATGACCTATCACATTGTTGTTGGTATGTACACTGAGAGCTATGCACCGGAGACAAATTCCTTGTGCGTCCAATCACACTTGGCCAATAAAGAATTCAAGAACACCGGACTCAAGAGACTTATGTATGGGAGTGGAAGAAATGGATAGATTATGTGCAGAATAAATATCAAACTAGGAAGTATCAAATAGCTTTTAGCTAAATGTTGTTTAGAAATGTATAGTTTATAGGGGGCAAAATAGTTTACTGCTAAGCAGAATTGTATAGTGCACAGGGGGGACAATAGAAGGGTGGTAAAGTATGATATAATATAATGTGGATGGATTTCACCTTGGGGAAGTCATGGGGAGGGAGGGTTTGGGAGGGTTAGGGAGGGATGGGAATGGGGGAAAAATTGATGTTTGTAAAACTTTTTCAATAAAAAAAAAGAATTCAAGAACTATAGTTAAGGGGAAATGGAGAAAGATAACTATCCTCTGAGTAAGTGTCAAGGTTCAGAGCAGAATGTGGATTATTTAGTGACTCACAATAGCTCTTCCTTGTTGCACATAGTTGGAAAAATAAGTACTACATATGGTATAACTGGGTGAGGACAGTGCTTTGTAGGTTTTTTAAAGAGAAAAATAATATTCCTCCCCATCCATTCAACACACTTCCTTTTCAGGGTTTTTTTTTAAATGAAGACTACTTATTCTATTGGGCATCAAAATGTAGCCATTGCAGTTGTGATTAATCCCATTTTTCAAACAAAAGAAATGTTAGTGTTTTACTGAAAGCTGTGGATTTTCTGTCCAAGATATCCCTCCCCAAAGGGATCAAGTCTTATTTAGATTTTAGAGATTACTACAGCTCATATAATGAAAGGTTTTGGAGATGGATCAAAACCCTCTCCACTCAGTGCTTGAGGTCAGGGGTCTCCAACCTTGGCACCTTTAAGACTTGTGGACTCAACTCCCTGAATTCCAATATCTGCTTTAGGTCATTGCTCATAATTTAACCATGTATAGGTAGAGATACACTTGCCCGAATAGTCTCTTCCACTTTCATTGGCACATTTTTGAATGCCATTCCTTGCTTTAATATTATTAGTTAATCTTTAGTGAGATTCACAGCCTTTGAGGCTGGTTAATAGCTTAGCAGCTCGAGTCCTAACCAAGGAGCTAGGAACTGTTAAGATATCGTCGGAGGATGTAAGATGATGATGATGATGATGATGATGATGATGATGATGATTCACCATTTTCTGAAAACATTTTAAATTGTAGACCTTCCTTTTGCTTATGATATAGGAACTACAGAATTCTCAGAATGTTTTCACTTTATATATACATTTAAATATATATTATTTTGACACCTTTGCTAGAAAGTAGATGGGAAGAAATGCATTTATCTCCTTCCTGGTTTGTCTGAGGATACAGACCCTTTCCTAGAACCAATTCATTTAACTGTCCCATGGTGGCTTGGTTACCTGAGTTAGAAAGGTATCTTTGAACCAGCCATATACAGAGGCTGGCAAGACATAAGCCATTTTAAATGTTAGGTCTCCTCCAGCCAACACAGATGAAGGTCTTATGTGCTTTATTTAGAGATACTGTAAACATGTGTATGGTTCGTATATTTTATGGCAGGGGTGTCAAACTCAAGGACCCGGGGGGCAGATCTGGCCTGCAAGGTGCTTAGATCTGGCCTGCAGAACCATCCTGGAAACAACGAAGGACCGGCCCACAGTGCCTCTGCCAGTGAAAACGGGCTCCTGAGCTCTGTTTTTGGCTGTGACAGCTTCTTGCAACCCTCTGCCAGCAAAAATGGAGCTCGGAGGCCTCCCGAGCTCTGTTTTCACTGGCAGAGGGTTGCAGGAGGCTGTCGCAGCCAAAAACGGAACTTGGGAGCCTGTTTTCACTGGCAGAGCACTCAAGCCACCACAGGCGCCCCCCCCGACACAAGTGACATCAAGCTGGCCACGCCTATCCTAGCCACGCCCTCTGCCCCCCCTCCCAAGGTCAAACACAACCCTTTTCTGTGTGTAATGAATGAAATTGAGTTTGACACCTCTGTTTTATGAGAACTTGATGATAAACATACCACGAGGATGTGAAATAATTAGTTCAGGAACTACCCTTTGACTGAGGCAGTGATCACACATTTCTTAAACAAATAAAATGTGGAATTGTAGTTGAAGCAAGCTAAGAAGGAGATAGCAGCACGGCCATTTTAAATGGTTGCTAAACAAATGGTTTATAAGTTGAAGACTTACAGAAATGGGACCTCAGAAATATGACGTTCTACTTTAAATTAGATGCCTGACGGTGTAAACAAAGAGGAATTTATAAAGAATTAAGAAGACAGGCAGTAGGATTTGAGGAACCCCGTCTCTGCTCATCCCAATATGAACTAATTTGTTTTGCACTACTGAACTTATATATCCAGATTCTCTTATGCAGATTAGAATGTAGCTATTCACGGGGTTTTGCACTTCTCCAAATACTGCAGTGCTGCTCATAGCTCAAATATACACAGAAACATAAAAATTCCTATGTGGAAACTTGCTAATGTGATGCTGAGAGAACATGTATTCTAAAATACGCATGTTGGAAAAAAAAATAGCCAGTCGAAACATATATTTTTGTAGTCTTTTTGAAAACCATACCTCAATCTAGAAAAGTAAGGGTGGGGAAAATTATTTGCAGAGAAATTAGGAAAATGACAATTTATTCCCCCTTCTGTTGGTTATGCATCACTGAGCTTGGCCAACAAGAGAGACAACAAATATTCAAATGTGTGAAAAAAACCAGACTGAAATAGCAGACAAAATAAAGATACTGGGTAAAATGTATCCATCTGATCAAATAAATACTGGCCTAGACAGAAAACGTTCTTGTCATATGGCAAAGTACAATTAAACATCTGAAATGTTAACGTCCTGTACAGAAAAAAAAATGAATCTGCACAAATTAGATGTTGCCAGGAAAATAAAATCAGCCAACAAACAGGAAGAGAAGGTCCAAATTCTCCATCTACCTTCAGAAAAGAAGGAGCCCAAAGGATTATTTTTATTGTAGTCAGTATAGAAATTCTTACATTTTAATTCCCACAATGGATGACTGGCCACAAAAGCTGATGGAGTTAGCAGAGATGACTAAATTGGTAGCTTTAATTAAAGAACAAAATATGACTAGCTTTGTTTCTACTTGGAAACCACTTCCGGACTTTGTGCTAGAGGATGAAAAAAAATAATAAACTTTGATTTTGGGTTTTACCAATCAGATACCGGTAGATTTTGTTATAGAAATGGCTAGTATATATTATTATGTAAAAGTAAAAAGTTGAGGTTGTATGTTGTTATGTCCTTATAAGGACATCCGCCCTGATTGGCTGCTAGCCATCGGGCGGGAGATTTGAATCCCTGTCAAGGGGCGGTGCGTCTGCCAGGAGCGAATATAAGGAGAGCTCCGGCAGCGCGCCAGCAGTCTTGTCTTATACTTTTGTAACAAATAAAATTACTGAATATATCGAGCTGGTCACGTCTTCATTTCCTGCGCCTGATCTAACACTGGTGACGAAGGACTAGAGAAGAGAACCTGAACAAGACTCGTGGCACGATCGCCCAACCAGCTGAAGGCACTAAACCACAGCGACTCTCAGAATGGCAACTCCGCAAGCTCCGATTGCCGCACTGAACCCATTCGACCCATCCCGAGAGAAGTGGAGGTTGTACATGGTCCGATTTCGGCAGTTCCTGCGAGGCAATGGCTACCAGAACCTCGATGATGAGCGGAAAAGAGCCCTCTTCCTGGCTCACTGCGGATCGGACATCTTGGAAATGGCGACTGACCTCGTGGCACCCAGGGACATTGAGGAGATGTCCTGGAACGGCCTGCAAGAAGCCCTGCAGGAGCATTACGCACCCACAGGCACCCCAATCGCAAACAGGTTCACCTTCCAGCAGAGAAATCAGCGGGAAGGTGAATCCATCAAAGAATTCGTGGCAGCGCTTCGCCAAATCGCTGCCAACTGCGAGTTCGATAACGTGGACAACGCCATCCGAGACCGCGTTGTTTTTGGAATGCGAGATGTGGGTCTGCAAAAGAAGTTCCTCAGCCGAAAGAGGATCCCACTCAAAGACGTCCTCGACGAAGCAACAGCGGCTGAAACATCCGAGAAGGCAGCCGCCGCGATGGCGAAAGCTAGAGGGATCCACAAGATCCACAAGTCGGGTCTGACCTCATCAGACGACTCAACCACGCAATCCGAGTCTGATGAGGAAAGGGCCGTACACAAGGTTTCCCGTCCCCCCAGGCGGGAAAACCCACAGCAGGGCGACCAGGGAGAACGATGCGGCAGCTGCAAAGGCGACCACCCCAGGGCAACCTGCAGATGGAGGGACGCGACCTGCCGCCGATGCCTGAAGAGGGGGCACATCGCCGAGGCCTGCAGAGCAGCAGATCCAGCCCCGTAACCGCCCAGACCACGATTCCGCGAGAATCGCAAAGACAACCAGAGGACATCCAAACGGTCCTCGAACCAGTCCCGGCGCGGGGAGGACGACTATCCCCGCAGCAGAACGGTGCACCAGACAACCATCGCTCACACAAGTGACGAGGGGACCACCAAGTTCCACATGACGCTGATGGCGGAAGGGTCACCGTGCAAGATGGAGGTAGACTCCGGATCCGCCTACTCCATCATGGACTGGCAGCACCTACAGCAGCTGAAGCCATCCTGCAAGAAGACCCAGCTGAAAACCCCGAAGTCGAGGCTTGTGGACTTCAACGGTAATTCCATTGGAATCCTGGGCAGAACCACCATCCACATCAAATACAAGGACTTTAACGGAGAGCTGCCCATCACCATCGTGGAGAACAGCTGACCGAACCTGTTAGGAGTGGAGTGGTTTAAGCCGCTGGGGCTTTCCATTGAGGGCATCCACGAAATCCATAGGGACGAACTCGACACCATCCTCGAAGAGTTCAAAGAAGTCTTCGATGGTAAGCTGGGGAAATTTGTGGGGAGGCCAATTTCCTTCAATCTGGACAAGGGAATCACCCCAATCAGGCTCAAGCCCCGCCGAGTTCCGTTTGCCCTGCGGCCTAAAGTAGACGAGCAGCTGGATAAGCTGATTGCCCAGGGCGTCCTGGAACCGATCGATCATGCCTCATGGGAGACCCCCATTGTGACCCCACTGAAGCATGATGGGTCTGTGCGCATCTGCGCCGACTACCGTTGTACCATCAACAAGGCATTGGCACAGAGCGCATACCCAGTCCCAGTAGTGCAACACTTGCTGCATTCCCTGGGATCTGACTCAATTTTCGCGAAACTGGACCTGGCCCAGGCTTACCAGCAACTGCCAGTGGATGAAAAAACGGCGGAGGCACAAACAATTGTCACGCACAGGGGGGCATTCAAATGTAACCGCCTCCAATTTGGAGTCAGCGCTGCCCCCGGCATTTTCCAATCTATGATGGAACGCCTTCTCCAAGGCGTTCCAGGGGTGGTGCCTTACTTCGACGATGTGCTCATCTCCGGTGACTCAAGAGCTCAACTCCTTGAAAGGCTCAGGCTTGTCCTGCAGCGGTTCAAGGCCAAGGGCTTGAGGGTCAGGCGGGACAAGTGCATCATAGGAGTACAGGAAGTCGAGTTCCTGGGCTATCTCATTGATAGCACTGGCATCCACCCCACCAAATCAAAAGTGGAAGCAATCCATGAAGCTCCAAGCCTAAAAAACAAAACGGAGCTTCAGGCTTTCCTTGGGTTGCTCAACTTCTACGCCATTTTCTTAAAACAGAAAGCCACAGTTGCTGAGCCACTCCACCGCCTGCTGGGGAAAGCGGCTTCCTGGAAGTGGGGCCAGGAAGAGGAAGCAGCATTCCGGGCCATCAAAGGACTATTGACGTCCAAGAGCGTCCTCATCCAATACAGCGAGACGCTCCCCATCAAGCTGACCTGTGATGCGTCACCTTACGGGGTGGGGGCAGTTCTCAGCCACGAACTGCCCAACGGCTCAGAAGCCCCGATCGCTTACTTTTCGAAGACCATGTCCGGCGCAGAACGGAACTACAGCCAGCTGGACAAAGAAGCCCTGGCCATCGTGGCAGGAGTGAAGCGTTTCCACGAATACCTCTACGGAAGACGCTTCACCGTAGTCACCGACCACAAGCCACTCCTGGGACTCCTCGCAGGCGACCAACCCACCCCGACCTTCATGTCCCCGCAGATGACGAGATGGGCCATCTTCCTAGCCGGCTACTCCTATAGGCTCGTGCACCAGCCAGGCACAACCATAGGAAATGCCGACGCACTCAGCAGATGCCCATCGAAGAATCCAGTCGAAGACCCAGCCCCCACGCTCCACCTATTCCACATAGACGACGACGCCAGCTGTCCAGTCTCATCCGCAGATGTGGCCGTTCACACCCAAAAAGACCCCACACTCCGCCAAGTAAAGTCCTGGATCCTCAGAGGGTGGCCATCGGAAAAGACAGAGGAGAGGTTCAGCCCGTTCACCAGGAAACAGAAGGAGCTGTCCACCATCAAGGGCTGTCTGCTATGGGGAGACAGGGTGCTGATTCCAAGCACTCTGCAACGGCGAACATTAGAGACTCTGCACAAAGGGCATCCGGGCATCGTCCGCATGAAGGCCCTGGCACGAAGTTACGTCTGGTGGCCCTCCATGGACAGAGACATTGAGCAATGGGTCTCCAGATGTGACCCGTGCCAAGAAGTTCGCCCAGCGCCGCCGCAATCCGAAGTCGCGAAGTGGGAGACCCCCAGCAACCCCTGGTCGAGGATCCACATCGACTTCGCGGGTCCGATGCAGGGGCGACACCTCCTCATCGTGGTAGATGCCTTCTCCAAGTGGCTCGAGGTGGTACCCATGGCATCTACCACAACAGAAGCGACGATCCGAGCCCTGCGCCGTCTGTTCGCCACACATGGACTACCGGACATGCTGGTCTCGGACAACGGCCCCCAGCTCACATCCCTGGCCATGGAGTCCTTCCTGGCAGAACGGGGCATCCGCCACGCCCTGTCCACCCCGTACAGGCCGGCCGGAAACGGACAAGCTGAACGCATGGTCAGACTCACCAAAGAAGCCCTCACCAAGATGGGCCCGGGAGACTGGCAAGAACGCATAGATAACTTCCTCCTCACTCAGCACATCACGCCACATGCCACCATCCACAAGAGCCCAGCCGAACTACTAATGGGCAGAAGGTTGAGGTCACCCTTGGACCGGCTGCACCCCCAATACAGCCCGGAAGTGACTGCAACCGCCAGCCGCCCGCTTCGCGCCTTCAGCAAGGGAGATTCAGTTTTTGCGCTGAATTTCAACGGCTCTCCTAAGTGGCTGAAGGGGAAGATTGCCAGCACAACCGGCCCCAAATCCTACACCGTCGAGTTGGAAGATGGACAGGTCTGTAGACGTCACATCGACCAACTCCGGAAAAGGTGGGGGGGCACACGAAAACCAGCCTGACGAGGGAGGCCTACAACACCCAGACGAGGTAGGCCTCCAACACCCCGGCGAGGTAGACCTACCATGCCCAGATGAGGTAGGCCTACGACACCCCGGTGAGGTAGGCCTACCACACCCCAATGATGTAGGCCTACCACACCCCTGCGAGGCAGAGCAACGCCATCCCGACGAGGTCGGCCCGGCACACTACCAGGTACTGTCACGTCGGCAGTCCAGCGAGGTAGACCGGGGCCAACCGCACGGGAGATGGCAACACCAACCCAGCCAGGTGGGCACCCGGCACAACAGGGCCAGGGACCACCAACCCAGCCCACAAGTAGACCGGGACCTGCCCAGAGGAGGAGCAGTGCACCCCACCAGTGATGGCAGCCTACACCAGCCCAGCCAGGGAGACCGCAGTTCCAGGCGAGTAGACCGGGACCCAGCCAAGACGGGCACCCCACTACCCATGGGCGAGGGTGGCACACGACTCCCCGGCGAGAGGGACCCCCGCCCATCTTAGAGGACAGCCAGCGAACAACAACCCGACCCGGATGACCCCAGGCACCACCCGACGGTAGACCAGGGACTAGGGGGAAGGGAAAGCCGACAACAACCCGGCCAGGGAGACCTACACCACCCCGGCAGGGGAAACCTCCACCGCCCCGCAGAGGTAGTCCCGCAACAACATCCCGACCAGGTCGACCACCACCAACCAGACGGGGTAGACCAACGCCAGCCCAACCGAGGGGACCAACGCCACCCCTGCGAGGTCGGACAGCACAACGCAAGCCAGCACCACCCGCGGCCGGCGGACCGGACCCGAGGGCACCGAGCGGAACCACCACCCAACCAGCAGCAGGCCGAACCGTGACCGAACCGCAGCTCCCGGGAGACCAGGGAGGAGCAAGCGACAGGCTTACCGAGACTCAGACGCTCTTCCCGGGTCGGAACCGAGCAACCGAGACGAGGCAATAGATCCACAGGCCAGGAGGAAGACCAACAGAACCAGCCATCCAAGGTCTGAGGTCCGGCCGGAGGCGCTGGGGGTGACCCCGCTCACTCAACAGCCGAACCGAGCCCGGTTCCGGAGAGGGAACCAGGAGACGAAGGAGCCCCGTCCATCCAGGCCGGAGACGGAGAAGAAGTGAGACTGCGCAGGTCAGCTAGGGTGCCGAGGGGTCCCATGTACCTGCGCGATTACGTGACTTTTGTGGACGAGATTTGACAGTTCGGACTAAGGGGGGAGGAGTGTTATGTCCTTATAAGGACATCCGCCCTGATTGGCTGCTAGCCATCGGGCGGGAGATTTGAATCCCTGTCAAGGGGCGGTGCGTCTGCCAGGAGCGAATATAAGGAGAGCTCCGGCAGCGCGCCAGCAGTCTTGTCTTATACTTTTGTAACAAATAAAATTACTGAATGTATCGAGCTGGTCACGTCTTCATTTCCTGCGCCTGATCTAACATATGTTATTACCATCTTCCATTGCGCTAAAAAGAGTTGGCAGTCAGTGTTTTTCTTTTTTTTTCTTCTTTTTTTTTTCTTTTAAATTTGATTTATATGTCGCCCTTCTCCGGAGACTCAGGGTGGCTTACAATGTGCTAAGCAATAGCCTTCATTCTTTTGTATATTTATACAAAATCAGCTTATTGCCCCCACAACTGGGTCCTCAATTTACCTACCTTAGAAAGGATGGAAGGCTGAGTCAACCTTGAGCCTGGGGAGATTCGAATTTACAGTAATTGCAGACAGCTGGTGTTAATCACAATGCTATCAGTCTGCTGAGCCACCAGGCCCTTTTACCCTACATGTTGTCCTCTTCCCTTTTTCTTCCCCTACTTTCCCTTTTTTTTTCATTTTTCATTGTAGTGTATATTTTGATAATGCAAGACTTTAATCTGAGCCATAAAGCCAATTTATAAATCAGGATTGCTAGGTACCACACATTGCAACAGAACAAGGGTGCTTTGGAAAGCTTTTGTTGTTGTTGTTAGTTGCGAAGTCATATCTCACCCATCGTGACCCCATGGACAATGTTCCTCCAGGCCTTCCTGTCCTCTACCATCCTCTGGAGTCCATTTAAGCTCACGCCTACTGCTTCAGTGACTCCATCCAGTCACCTCGTTCTCTGCCGTCCCCTTCTTCTTTTGCCCTCCATCATTCCCAGCATTAGGCTCTTCTCCAGTGAGTCCTTCCTTCTCATTGGTAGCCAAAGTATTTGAGTTTCATCTTCAGGATCTGTCCTTCTAAAGAGCAGTCAGGGTTGATCTCCTCTAGGACTGGCTGGCAATGCAATAATACATTTTTGGAAGGAGGCATCTGATCCCAGATGGTATATGATTGCTCTCTTCTTTCCAATCCCAATGAAATAGAAAAGGAAGATGGGCTTCAGAGAAAAGAATGACAGAATAAGGTGAGGATGAGTTTGGACCTTGCATTTCCTGGTTCGTTCTTTGCAGCCTTCATTCCTAAACACAATTTACACAAATCAATTTTGTGGATTTCTTCAGACTTCATCAGCTCTTCTTTTTTCCCCCCAACTTGGATTAGAACAAACAGAAAGACAATTTCACAACGGTTTAAGACTTGAACACATTCCAGGCTATTACAAAAGTCAAATTCAAGATTAGCTAAGACATCTGTATAACGACAATAAATAAATGTGTTTGAATAGTTTAGAAACCTTATTGGTGGTGCAGTGGTTAAGTGTAACTCTGCAAGCAAACTCTGCCCACAGCCTGGAGTTTGATTCTCACTGACACAAGGTTGACTCAACCTTCCATCCTTCCGAGACCAATAAAATGAGTATGCAAATAATGCTTCTTTTTTGTAAACTGCCCAGAGACTTAATTGCCTAAATGCTATTGCTATTATTTTAAGAGAACTGAAGTCTCAGATGTGGCAGTGAGCTACATACAGAATTATAATCCATAAATGGTTTCCAGGCTAGGCTGAAAATAATATGAGACTTGTCTTTCATGTTTGAAGTTATTTTCTGACATTGATGCATACTCCCATAGGTTAGGCTGCCATCCCTCTAATGAAGGAATTAGATGTTGTCATTCCATAATCCATCTTGTTTTCTCCAGAATCAGCATCGCATGGAAGGATATCCCCATGGTATTTGCATGCTGACAATAGTTTTCATTTTGTGAGCCGGTGCCCCTGCAGTCTGTAAATCTTTATCATCTTTTCCATATTAAGATGCCGCTGCTGATTCTGATGATTGCAGACAAAGAGACGTGCATCCGAATTACCCACAAAGCCCCCAAGGCGAAATGTTTGTTATTCAGTGCCGTTGCAAGAATATAGATGAGTGAGTAGCTGAACAGTTTAATTGAAAGGACCCGCTGACATTCTTGATGGTGGAATAGCATAAACGGAGACCATGTCACAAACACACTGCTACAACCTCAAAGGTTGTTACACAAAGCTCACGAGGACATGGACTTCCTCCTCGTAGACCATTACTTTCTTCACCCCCTTTGTTTTCCTTCATTGAATTCTCACTTGGGATTTTCACCTCTTGTACAAGGAGAGTTTCTGAATTCAGGAGAAAAAGAAAAACCAATAACCTTCTCTTCTACGGATGAAGGCTAGGTTGAATCAGGAGAAATTGTTCCCATTTGCACATAATGTCACACTCCGTTAAAACAAAAACATAACATTTTCTCTCCATTTGATTCAAGAGGCCATCTCCTGTTCCCAGAAACTGCTTACTTGAGAAAAATAAATAAAATGAGAAAGATTCTTGAGAATGAAGTGAAGTGGAAAAGAGAACTAAGTAATGCCCCCATCCAGTTCTTTCAAAACACCTTTTCTTGTTGCCTCCAAACGAAAGGTGAATAAACAGAAGGTAAGGTACAAACCTTTTTTCATCTTTGTCACAAACTTTTCTTTCATTACCCTTTTCTCCCTGCTCCTTTGGGTAGTATTTTCACTCCATCAGACCAAGGGGAAGCCTTAAAAGTTTCCAGCGTTTTACCTTTGTGACACTAAAATGTTCATTGGCAGGAAAGGTTTCCACTTAAATACAACCGAAATCAGAGACTGGAACATGTCTGTCTTCCTTTCTGCTGGAAAATTGAAAAGCAAATAATACGTTTCTAGGCCATGAAGCCCTGAAAGAAAGTTCAAATGGTAATAATGATGCGTAAGGAAAGCATTAGTCATAAAAGGAAGCGGTGGATGTGAATGAATAAGTTCAGTCAGATTGCAAAGCATCTGACAGCTGAGAAATACACAATAACAGTCCTCCTGAGATTATACTTTGCAGAACACAAATCTGGTGTGTGCTATGAATATCATAGCCATATTAAGTCAACTGTTTCTGCCCAAGTCCTCTAAAATGCCAATTCCCATAAAAGACAGGTTTAAACGTTTTCTCCTTGGGATGAGAAGAATTGTCTAGGATGGGGACTTTGTTGATTTAGAGAAGTGATTCTATTCTTGTCTCCTAAGGGGATTTTTAATGCCCCGAAAGGCTGTATTTTATGAACCTAGCATGTCCAGGTAGAATAATTTAACAGCATTCTGTAAATTATATCCTTTGAGTGATTTCTTGCTACCGACAGGGGTAATTTTGACATTTATGGAGAATGACACTGTTTATTAAATTTGCATGCAGGGAGGATAAATTTACTTCCTCGTAAAGAATAGCACACAGGTCAGAGAAACGAGACTGTGTCTGAGTTTTAGAATCTTAAGGAACAATGATGCAGATTCAGACAGGCAGCTATATTCAGATACTCCTGAAAACTAGCCAATACAGATACTCCTCGATT